GGTCGTATTAGTGAGTGAGTCTCTCTCAGTGAGTGGCATGAACACACCGCAGTCTCCTCATTCTCGACTCGAACATCCGTGAAGGACATTCCAGTCAAACTGGTAAAAAGCTCCGATTCTTTCCGTGATTCGGGAGTACTTCGGCTGTCATATGACAAGTCTCTCCAAACAGCAACCTCAATCATTTTAATTGCCGCATCATGTTTTTAAGCCCGACAGCACCACAACAAAGGTTCGCGTTGTGTTTAACGCCTCCAGCCGTCCTCCAATGGCAAAAGTCTAAATGATATCCTACACACGGGACCCATACTCCAATCCGATCTGACGATACTAAAGTGGTGATTCTACCGCTACGTTTTCAATGCCAATACCAAGATGTATCGGCAAATCCGGGTCGATCCAAGACATACGCCCTACCAACGAATACTATTTCGCAATGAGAACGAAGAACTTTGCGACTTCGAAATCAATACAGTTACCTTTGGGGTAAACTGTGCCCCATACCTCGCAATCCGGGTCCTCCGTCAACTTGTTCGTGATATACGAGAAGATTGTCCCATCGCATCCGATATAATTGAAAATTATATGTATATCGATGATGTTCTAGCAGGGGCACACACGAAGCCACAAGCAATTTCAGCCATTGCAGAACTCCGCATGGCACTTGACAGAGCTGGGTTCCCTCTGAGAAAGTGGACATCCAACACAAAGGAAGTGTTAAAAGAAATACCAAGGGATCACTTACTGTGTGCGGATTTCTTAGAAATCGACGAGGCCAGCGTCGCTAAACCGCTAGGCATTCGATGGCAAGCCACAACAGACCAGTTTTTCTTTGCTCCGTCCAAAATGGTATCTCAGCCTTCGCTCACTAAACGTGAAGTACTATCACAGATTGCGAAATTGTTCGACCCTGCTGGATGGCTAGCACCTATGATAGTTCGAGCAAAGATTTTCATGCAAGAAATCTGGCTCCAAAAGCTGGGGTGGGATGATTCCCTGCCGGAAGATCTCGTTCAACGTTAGCATGACTTCCTAACCGACTATCCCTTTCTCGAAGAGATCCGTATTCCAAGATGGGTCGATTTTCAGCAAAAGGCAAAGGTGAAGTTTAACGGCTTCTACGACGCGTCCCAGCGCGCATATGGTGCTGCACTTTATTTGCGCGTCGAGATCAATGGATGCATCTCCACTACATCACTACCAAGCACCACCAAGAGCTGTGTGCCGCCGTTCTTCTTTCCGAGCTCACCACGGCTCTTATTCCTCAGCTCCCCATCCAGAGTAGAGAAAATTTCAATTGGACAGACTCCACTATTGTTTTTGCTTGCTTGGATAAACCTCCATGCAAATGGTCTACCTTTGTGGCTAACCGGGTAGCCAAGAGAACATCAACCAATGGCAAATGGTCCCATGTTCGATCTGAACATAACCCAGCTGACCTAGCTAGTCGGGGGTTTCTCCTCGGGACCTATTGGACAGCACGTTGTGGTGGCATGGACCGGAATGGTTACAACTATCAAAATACCAATGGCCAGTTCCTGTTACGGTACTTGAGACAGAGATTGAACAACGCGCAGTGAAGTGCAATGTCTCACAGCTACCTTTCTATAACCTTCTGGACCGATTCTCCAGATTCGACAAGGCATTGCGAGTTATCGCATATGTCTGTCGCTTTATCCAGCGCTGTATAAATCCAGCGATCTACCTCGAGTATACTCAACGTCAAGCTTATCCTAAGAAGTAAAGTTGTTTGCTCGACAAGAAGCAAATTTAAGGATTAAGCAGCATTCGAAATTTAAACCCTTTCATCGATCAAAGGTGTATTCTGCGATCCTGCAGACGGGTGAGAGCGTCACATTGATAGGCTATGATGAGCGACACCCCATAATTATTCGGATTTTTCACGCCTCCTGGTCCAATTTAACCACCTCATTTCTTTTCACGGATCCCAAAGCTCAAGGTCCTGGTAAAATCTAGCATAAACTCCTGCAAGGTCTGTGGAATACACCGTCGACGACTCCAGACCCAACTTATGGGCGAGCTCCCAAAGGCAAGATCAACCTGTTCTCGACCCTTCACACACACGGGTGTAGATTTTGCCGGACCTTTCGATATTAAAAGCTACATTGGTCGAGCGTGCATAATTACCATGGATTATGTCTGTGTCTTCGTTTGTTTCAGCACGACAGCAATCCATTTAGACCTAACCACGGAGAGATTCCTGCATTTTCCCGATTTATAGCAAGACGTGGCCTTCCCCAACATATGTACTCAGATAATGGGAAAACATTTAGGGGAGCTTTATCCTTTCTTTCGAGAGATTTCTTGCAAGCGACCAAGGAGCTCATCTGAAAGCTGAAATATTCACTTGAGTTACCTTATTAGATGAAGGAGGAAATTCTTTAATTTAATTCTTTACCAAAAATGTATTCCTCCTTGGTGGAAATGGAGGTCAAAGATTTTGTGGATGACGATTCGCCATCAAATTCATTTTCAAGGATTAATATGAAAAATCATTTGAGACGTGTTTCACATATTCGCAAAATCTAAACTCTTTCGGTAGAAATGCGATTCAAAGAGTCTTTGGGCGCAGTTTCAAGTGGTGTCCAATTCGCTTCAACTTATTTTCAAGGCTCTTTATAAGAAATTTGGGAAATTCCACCCACAACAGTGGTTAATTAGCGAAAAACGATTGTATGAAAGTTGTTTGTTTACCGTCCGGTGCCACGGGCAAGGCCGGGCTATACCCGCTAGTTTATATATATGATATTATCTACTATTTATTCAATAAAAAACCACAGCTATTTAACATATATCGATTTATATTCAAAATTTTCAATTGCACTCAAACTTAACGGCAGGGATTGGATGGAAGTTAATAAAGGACTCATCCAAACACTTAACAATATGGGAAATCTACAACTCTGAAGACAGACAATGCTTTTATGAGAATAACCCTGAAAGAATGGTTAAATAAGGAATAAGTTGAAATTCAAATCACATCAAGTAAGAATGGTGTAACGGATGTAGAAAGACTATATAGCAAAATTAATTAAAAAATGTTTATTATAAATACTGACGATGACGGAGAAAATAGACTCATGAAAATTGAGGTAATTTTATACACCTTTAATCACAAGCCAAAACATAAATACTGGCAGAGCTCCAGCTGACATTTTCATTTACGCAGGTAACCCCAATTTTAAAGAGACAAGAATAAACAATCTTAATAAAAACCGAAATGATTTCGAAATAAATACTAAGTTTAGAAAGCACCCATAATTCACGGTAAATTACAAAACCCTTACAAACCCACTAGGAAAATAGAACGAGTTGGCAAAGATCATTTTGAAGACACGAACAGAGGTCGCAAAGTTAAGCATTATAAGACAAATTATCAAAAACAAAACAAGGATAAGAAAAACTAGCTATTAGCATATTAGGCATACTAAAACAAACTAACACTATTTCCATAATTGCTTAGCAATACTAAACGAGAAATCTAATAACAATTTAAACTCATATTACACACAAAGAATATTCGAAAGAAATAATATTAACAAATGAAAACCACTTTCGTACATTCAAACAAAAGAAATTATTTTTGAAAATTCTAATGAAATGAAAAAATACCAAATCTTATTATTCATAATAATGTATCTATCATATAAGTTTAAAAATATACCCAAACGGATACTTATAAAGAAACTAAATGTTATTGATCAGAAACTGTACAACCCCCAATTAAAATTTGAAATTTAACAAGAACGAGAATATTTAAGTTTGTTACCAAATTGTATCCAAGCATTTAAATTACATTTTTTTACAGGTACCTTTTTATACCCTTGCAGAGGGTATTACAATTTTGACGTGAAATGTGTAACGCATAGAAGGAGACATCTTCGACCCCATAAACTATATATATTCTTCTTCTGTCCGTCTGTCTGTTTCTATGCGAACTAATTTCTCAGTTTAAAGCTTAATGAAAATTTGCAGCAATCCCTCTTTCTGTTGCACGCAACACATTGGTCAAAACCAGATGGTTCGGACCACTATATCATATAACTGCCATAGGAACGATCGGCCGAAAATTAAGTTTTTGTATGAAAAAACATTTTGTTTATCAAGATAGCTTGACCAAACTCGGCATTTATTAGTTTTACTATGCTCCTCGTATATATCCAAAGTCAATTTAAGATCGGACCACCTTATCATATAGCTGCCATAGGAACGATTGGTCGAAAATTAAGTTTTTGGATGATAAACATTTTGTTTATCAAGGTATCTTGACCAAACTCGGCATTTATTAGTTTTACTATGCTCTTCAAAAATATGCAAAATCCTATTAAGATCGGACCACTATATTATAAGCTGCCATAGGAACGATCGATCGAAAATTAAGTTGTATAAAAAAAAACATTTTGTTTATCAAGATATCTTGAGCAAACTCAGCATTTAATAATTTAAGTATGCTCCTCATATATATGCAACATCCTATTAAGATTTCATATGGCTGAAATAGGAACGACCGGTCGAAAACTAAGTTGTTGTATGAAAAAAAATTTTGTTTATCAAGATATCTTGACCAAACTCGGCATTTATTAGTTTTACTATACTACTCACATATATGCAAAATCCTAATAAGATCGGACCACTATATCATATAGCTGCCAAAGGAACGATCAGTCGAAAACTAAGTTGTTTCATGAAAAAAATTTTGTTTTTTAAGATATCTTGACCAAACTCGGCATTTGATAGTTTTACTATACTCCTAATATATATGCAAAATCCTATTTAGATCGTACCACTATATCATATAGCCGCCATAGGAACGATCGGTCGAAAATTAAGTTATTGTATTATGGTATAATCGGCATTAACATATTGGATCTGCAAGGGTATTAGATCTTCGGCGTGCCGAAGATAACATTTCATTTTCATTTTTTTGTTCAATTATATAGTTTTTACTGCTTTTGACAGTTCAAGAAAATGTAACTTACTTGTTAAGCTTGTTAATCATGTTATCAATAAACTCTTTACTTCGTGTAGCCATTCGATCTTCACGCTCGTCAATTCGAAAGGTGTGTGCATCCTTCATTCCAGCTATTAAATTTAAAATAGCATCGCGGTCATGCATACACATCCTTAGTTCAGGGGGAACGTCTTCAAAATCTTGCATTGCAAGTTTGGTAGAAATAAATCTGGTTACTATTTCAGTCATATTTTCGGAAAAATGTACTGATATCTCGCGCAATTGGACAAAGAATGATTGTGACTGTTCCAAAAATTTTGACATCATGTCCGAAATTTTACGATGAAAGTTTGTTGTAGACTCCTATAAAATAGAAATATGTAAAAAATATATATAAAGTTATGTATTTTTTATCTCAACCTCAATAGTTTCGTGCAAATGCAACTCCTGTGACATAAGGACAAGCCACATATCATTCAAAGCATCTTCGAAGTGTACATTCAATTTGTCCATTATATCAGATAGTTTGAGATTTTCGAGAGAATCTTCATCATCTCCGTGCATAACATTCTGTTCTAATAAACGTAGTGTTATCCGAGCTTCTTCGAAAACTCTATCCTTATATTGAAGAAAGTCTTCAATTTCCCTTTGACCTAAAGTCTGAAGTTCCTTTTGTCCATCTTGTAAATTATCCATAAAATCCCTTATTTCTTCATCTCGTTCCACAAATCGTTTTAATCCTAATTTATAAATTTCTTGGGTTAGCTCAAACACATCTTTTTCATATTCTTCCGCCAGTTCCTGAGCTTGCTGTCCAACCAACATTAACACACGGCCATCTGCATCATCTCGCCAAAACGAATCAAATAGCTGATTGCCATCTAAATGATCTACAAAACTGGAAGCTAAACGTTTAGCTTCAGATTGCTCTCGAGCCTGTGACTCACGTGCTTGAATTTCTTTTTCCTGCAGGTATTCAACTTCACGTAATTCGCGGCTGATATTTTAAAACAAAATATGAATTGATTATTCTATATATCGTAATATTGACTTACCAAAATCGTATTTGTGCCTTTTCTCTCATTTCACTCTTAATGAAAGTATATTCATAGTAGTGAAGATTCGGTAATAAAGTTATTATATATTGCGATAAGGGAAAATCCATGTTTTGTGCAACTGGGTTACCTTCCAAGTTCAATACTCTTAAATTGCACATAAAACGAAATCGATCTATCTGTATAACCAGAAAAAATTTAATAAGAAAGATGGAATGTCCGCAAACTGCACAACAGTAGTCAACATGTCGAATTTTGAGAACTTAGCTAAGACTAAAAGACATGTAAAATTATTTAATATCTGGGTGCTATGAGAAAATTAATTGGACTGATATTCTGCAAAAAGAATGCGGGAAAAGCATGATCGACTTTGATGAATTGCAAGCCACAATATTCTGTTAGACGGACAAGATAAGAGAATAGATGGAGAACAAACTACAGGACACTAACTAGAAGAACTAACTAGAACACTAGAACTTTTTCGAGGAGATGCTGCTTTGCATCCTACTTTGGCTTTTCATTTATTTAATTTTTACTATTAATTATATCAAATATATCATATATATATATATATAACAAATATTATTTTTATTTTATTAACATTATTCCTAACGGCAAGCGTCCTTTCACAATCAGGCTGCGTTCTGGCTCACTCATGACTAAACCGGTAGCATTGTCATACGAAATAGAATTCGGCTTGCCTCTTAGACTGATGAATCTTTTTAGCGCAGCAATAAACGTGGGCGTAGATGTCTTATACTAGCTCTAGGTGCCATGATTAATACGCAGGTTATTTGGTGCCATTTAGATATAGATTGCTTGGCTTGGTATACAATCAAGATTGGAATTATTAAACCGCCGCCTAACGCCTATGAGTTCCTTAGGATCTAATATGGAATGCAGAGATCGGAGGTCGATTTTAAGTGGTAGCGGCTCAATGAAATGTGTAGTCTGGATTCTTTTATTGAGTAGGTGAGCTCCTTGTTTAATTTCATCCAGAGTTCTTTCGAATATTCGTAATAAATTAAAAAATATATGCAAAACTAATCTGGAACTTTCAAAAGAATTTTTAAATTTGCACGACGCTGTCAAATCTCTTTGAATTGATTAGCCCAATGTATTGTGACGACGCTCTGGAAGCTCCAGTTAATAAGCACTGTTTTCAGTGCGAGCCTTTGGTAGGCTCCTAGATTTGTGATACAATGTTGAAAACAAAAATATTGAAATTAGAAGGCGTTTCTGGAATCCATGACAGCGACCTAATGATTGTAGCGACAATGTTGACTAACTATGAAAGTATGAGCATTGCTAAGAGTTCCAGCTTCCTTGATTTGCAACACAGCAGATGTGATGCAACAACTCCTTGCATTACAGATCTTATGTAAAATGCAGCTGACTGCGATTGGCTTTCGTCCAAGCTTCCGCTTGGTGATGATGGGTAAGATTATTCCTAGAGAAGCTGTTTCGGTTCCGTCCCTGAGCCTTTGGGTAATATTTCTGAAAAGTTGAGGAGCCGATTCACCGTTGAGATCGGCAGGCTCGTTCGGACACCATTTGCCTATTGGATAATGGCCTTTTGCTAAAAGCTGCTTTACTTGATGTCATATTTGACTGGCTTCCTCGATGGAAGATAAAATAGTTGACATTGAAGTCTCTGAGCTTGTGCTTTTCGTCGTGTGCTAGCTGTTGTTTTGGATAGCTAAAAACGTAGCGGTCTTAGTTCCATATGTCACTGTATCAAAAAATTAAATATTACTCAGGTAATTTGGATTTTCGCGCCATAAGATGCATTACATTAATATGAATGGATGGTCCAGCTAGAAGCAAATCATTTGGGGATGTGCATGATGCCTGACTTAGCGGATTTGTTAAAATTTCGTTGACAGGCAGCCGGGCTCTCCACGCAGTGATGTGACAACTAAATTTGAAGTGTAGTGTAATATTCTCTAATTGCTGAGTGATATATTAACTTTATAAATTAGAACCCTTGTACATCAGTGCGGCTTGGTTCAAAGTAAATATAATGCACTTAGCCTATGGATACATGTATATACTAATGCTGTTATTGGTTAACAGCTACATAGAGAGGGAGAGTGAGTAGCTTGCATGGGCCTGTGTTAGTGAGCATATATGTTGGTCATGGAATGCGCTCAGACGGAGCGTGGGAAGTGCAGCGTAAGCATAAACGGTCAGCTAGAGAGGCTAGTGACCTGCGCTGCATAATATGAGCCAGAGCCAATGTATAAAGTGGCAACGCGTGTGATGCTATACTGACCAAAGTTCGCAAGGGTGGAAATCCATTTTATTGAGTTTTGTATTTCGCAAAAGAAATTCATTCTTTTCTCTTTCCTATCTTGCTTTTATTATTATATATATTGGGTATATTGTGTTTGTGCAAAATCCAAATGTATGTAACAGGCAGAAGGAAGCAACTCCGACCGCATAAGGTATATATATTCTTGATCAGCATCAATAGCCGAGTCGATCTAGCCATGTCCGTCTGTCTGTCCGTCCGTCCGTCCGTATGTATGAGTCAAAGGATCTCAGAACATATAAGAGCTAGAGACTTGAAATTTTAGATGTAGATGCTCTTAGTTCCCGAGTTTTTTTTTTGCTGGTATGGCTGTTGAGTAGAGTCGACAGTAAGTAATGCGGTCAGTTGCAAATTCGAGCCCTGCCAAGGGAACTTTTTTTTATTAATTTATTTGGTGTCGGAATAAGAGGGTTCAGGGTATCCCCTAGTCCCGACTAGAACCTCTTACTTGTTTAACCTATACTTATGAACTCTGTTTTTATACCCTGCAGAGGGTATTATAACTTTGTCGTGAAATGTGTAACGCATAGAAGGAGACATCTCCACCCAATAAAGTATATATATTCTTGATCAGCATCAACAGCTGAGTCGATAGAGCCATGTCCGTCTGCCCGTCTGTCTGTTTCTATGCGAACTAGTGTCTTAGTTTTAAAGCTATCTTAATGAAATTTTGCAGAAGTCCGTCTTTCTGTTGCACGCAGCACATATGTGAAAACCAGCTGGATCGGACCACAAGATCATATAGCTGCCATAGGAACGATCGGTCGAAAATTAAGTTTTTGTATGAAAAAACATATTGTTTATTAAGATATCTTGACCAAACTCGGCATTTATTAGTTTTACTATACTCCTCATATATATGCAAAATCCTATTAAGATCGGACCACTATATCATATAGCTGCCATAGGAACGATCGGTCGAAAATTAAGTTTTTGTATGAAAAAACGCTTGCTTATACAAAATTCTTTTGTGAAGTCTGTGTATTGTAGAGTCGGTTTAATAAGTTGAGATGCTTCCTTCTGCCTGTTACATACATTTGGATTTTGCACAAATACAATGTACCCTTGTAACCATTTTAAAGGGTTCAGGGTATAAAAACGTATTTTGACATTTATCAGTCCATTCAAATGAAACATTCTTTTTATTTAGTCTAGTTTTGTACTGTGCATAGTGGGCGAAGTTTTTAATAAATCGTCTATAATTGTTGGAAAATGCAACGAAACGTCTAGCGCTGTCCGCATCATGTGGGATTGGGTAATTTTGAATATAGTCGTATTAATTGTCATCTGGTAAGATTCCTTTGTCTGTGCATTCCATATAAAGGAATGCTTGCGAAGGTTCAAGTCGGCGCTATTTTTAAACAAAATGGTGAACGCTTGAAGCGATTGGAGCCATTGCGTCGAAAAAGACATTATATCTCTTGAATTATTGTCAAGTTCAATTTAGTGAAAACCTGACATCAAGTCAAGGCATAAGAAAAATTTCGCTCTACCTAGTTGATCTAAAATATCATCAATTCTAGGTAGTGTGAACTTATCAGCTAGCATATTTTTGTTAATTTGACGATAGTCGATTACCCATCACCATTTTTTCTTATTCGATTAAGGATGATATTTCTTTGGGACTCTTAAAAGTGGGCTATTATGTAATGACACACATGGTTCGACAATTTTGTCGTCTAATAGATTTTGTACTTGGGCTTGGATTTCTTCTTTCTGGCTTTAAGGACTTCTATAATTTTTAATGTAGGCTGGTTCATCATCTTTCAATATCAATTTTTGCTTGTAAAAAGTTTTTGTTGATATAGATTCAGTTTCAAGTCCGAATATGTCTGTATAATTAGTACATAACTCAGTTAAATTTTCTTTAAACTGTGGTAGATAATTTTGGGATAGTTGAGACATGACTTCTTCATTTCTAGTTCCATTTTTTGTTTGAACCACTTCGTACTTCTGTAGTATGTATACACATACATATGTATAACACAGAACACAACAAAGAATGCGGCACTTATAATTGAGGAGTGGCAGCATAAACTAACAAGGTTATACAGAGTCCAAGCCTCAGACATTTTACAACGTCTAAGGAATAATTTGGAAAGCTTAAACGAAAAAAACAATCTCCAGCTTTATTTACCATCGGCGTTAAACACGCCGATAACATTTGATAAGTGACTCTTAACAAACTCAAATGAAATCGACCAAATGAAGACATAAATTTTTAAAATTAGCCTCGTAACTCTTAACAGAGTCGAGAGAAGTGGAAACCCTATGGAAAAGTGGAAACCCTACAAAGTTTTTGGATGCATTGATTCTAATAGATTCCTTAAAAGGCATCCACGAACTAACTGCAGTAACGTAATAAAGACTAAACTGAAGAGCCACGCTAGAAAATTGATAAGCAATGAGCAGATAATTCTTGCCATTATAAATGAAATATCCAAAGCAGTAAAAGGAGAATCTGTAGACGTCATATCTGCAGAACTTAATCTGCAGCAAAAGAGCAAAGCGGCTAATCAATACACCCAACAGGTAGAAAATCTAATAAATGCCGAGTTTGGTCAAGATATCGTTAAGAACAAAAGTTTTTTCATACAACAACATAATTTTCGACCAATCGTTCCTATGGCAGCTATATGATATAGTGGTCCGATCTTAATTGAATTTTGCCTATATAAGAGAAGTATAGTAAAACTAATAAATGCCGAGTTTGGTCAAGATATCTTAAAAAACAAAATGTTTTTTCATACAACTTAATATTCGACCAATCGTTCGTATGGCAGCTATATGATATAGTGGTCCGATCTTATTTGGATTTTGCCTATATATGAAGAGTATAGTAAAACTAATGAATGCCGAGTTAGC